TTTTTTTTTTTTTTTTTTTTTTTTTTGCACATAAATTTAAAAAATATGATCTCAATAATAATCTAAATGGTAAATGGCCTGTATTTGTATAGCACTTTCAGTCATCCACCCATTCACACACTAATCTAAGAGCTCAATAATGGCATTTGTGGCTAGGACTTGTTAAGCTCTCCAAAGGATGACTGGAGCTTCATGTGTCTTGCTCAGTATTCAATAAGCATGGATTAAATATGAATCAGGGCAGAGTATGATGATGTCTGCATTAACATAGAGCCAAAGCTTTCTTTTTTTTTTTTGTGTAAACAAAATAAAAATGCTAATTCATAAACTAAAACTTAAGTCTGAATCTTTTTGGTAGCTTTAAATGCATGCTCAGTAACTCGGGTAGGGAAATATCATCATCCAGATTCAGTGGGAAAAACTTTTAATCACTTATCCAAATGGCGACTTCAGTCTCAGCTGACTGCAGGTACCTCAAGCTTATAAACGGTACAGCTGTATACTGACTTGCCTGCAGTCAGCTGAGACTGAGGAAGTTACTTGGATGAGTGATGAAATGTTTCTCCCCCTGGAAAGGCTGCATCCAGATGAACAGAATAAACTGAGTTTCTAAAAACTTAGAACTTACAAAAAAAGAGGAGAAAATGAAAGAAATTTCCATGGAACAGTGTAATCTTTATTTTCTGTGCTTTTCAACATGCGCCCTTGACTTGATGTAAACACAGAGGCGTACATTTTTTCTCTTCCCTTAAACTGAAGGAATAGGAATCCAGGACACATTCATCACGAGCACAGAGAAGGACATGGCGCAAAGAATCCACAGTGAGTCTTGGGGAAATGCTGTTGACACGCAGGAGTTCATATTCTTCCAAGAGTTGTATAGTGTTGCCCATTAATGCATTAAGGAGAAAAAAAGAGATGTTAATCTGATATAAACTTCTGTTTGAACAATTATTTAATGACTAAAAAAAAGAAAATGGTGCTTTTTCCGTTCTTTTTCCAATAGACCTAGATGACAAATATCCCACAAATATATTCACAAGACTCAGTTCACCCATATTTGACCAGTTGAAACCTTTTTCTGTCTGTCCAGGGATCATCAGTTGTGGTCAAAAAGCTGATGTGCACCAGTTAAGACGGCTTTCTAAGCCATTTATTAATTTTAAGATTAAGATCATTAACAACGGCACAAATAAAAGAAAACTGCATGAATCCAGTCCTGACGACTGTTACGTGACCCCATTAAAAAAGCCCTTTGATCCAAAGGCTTTGTCCCCTGACCTGGGGTGTTTTGTGGAATGTTACAGCACTCCTGTGAAACAGGAATTGGCATCCCCTTTTTCCACATTGAATCCTGAACTGACAGCTAAGACACAAGATGTTGGGAGTGAAATAAAAGAAAGTGTGAGCTCTCAGCTGCTCTCAAAAGATGCAAAATATGGGCCTTCCACAGAAAGAGGAGGATCTCTCGAAAAAGAGACCAAAGCACAAGATCTGATGCATGAGAGGGTTTTAAATCCTTCACCGACATTTGACTGTGACGTGGATGACATCTTGTGTCTCAATCCCGATAGCCCTTTAAGATTTTTGGAAGATGAAGACGGCTACTTGAGTCACAGTTGCCAAATCTTTCAAGATGGGCTGTTTCCCGTTGCTGGACTCACTGTGGCAGAAGAACCAGCAGATGAGGTGAAGAGGGAAACGTGTCTCAGTGTAAAAGACGTGGAAGAGGATAAAGGCTATATATCGCTTTCGTTTATCAATGAAAATAAAGTGGCCGGGTTGGTGAACTCCAAACAGCTTACAACTAACTCAGCCGAGGGTGACTATCATCCCCAAACTTCATCTGACCCACGGGTACATGAACAAACTGCAACCTCTGGATGCCTTACCGTCACAGTAGACAACCTGATCCCAAGTAGTTGCGAACCTCTCTTGGAGCACGTGAACACTAATTGTTTGGAAAGTTGTAAATTGGAGGGGGTGTGGGATATCGGTCCTCCAATATTTGAATCCTCTATGTGCCACAGCGAATCGGACAAATTGAAAGCAGAGCAGAGCTGTCAGGTGTTGGAGGAGGTGCAGGAAAATGTGACTGAGCCTGTCCAAAGCACACTGAAGAAAGAAGACGCTGCTGTGGAAAACAGCTATGAAGCCACGCTTCCCCTCAAAGTACAGGTATGTTACCTCAGCCTTTATCTTATTTGCCTGGATTACTTTTTAAATATAAATATCAACTGTAATATTGGGGATCACTTACGTAAATCTTGGACATTACACAAATTGCCCTTTTGACTTTTTTTTTTTTTCCTCAGGTTAAATCCAAAGTACAGAACTCAAACAGAAGCACCCCGGACAGCAGTGTTGTTTCTGTCCCAAAGACGGAGGCGACAAAGCCCATCAGAACCCTTCAGCCTGGCAAGAGCGCCTCTCAGAGGTATTGTAGTAATCACCGCCACCACTAGAGGGAGCAATGTTACTGTAACTCACACGTTTTCTTTCTTTCTTTTTTTTTTCTTTTTTCATGGCTTTGTGATTTCAAGGTTGTCTGTATCTGCCTTATTGTTTTTTTTTTCTTGCAGCTTAATGTATCTTTTCTTAGCTGAGCAGGCTTTGTGTTTATAGTTTCATAATTTCACGATTGACATGATTAGATTGAACTTGGTGTTTTTATTTTCCTTTAGATCCATGGTCTTCGGCAGTGAATTGCAGTGGGAGCAGGAAAAGGAGCTCTATGTGCATTCAGTTGTCAGTCATATGTATGAGAATCCAGGAGTCAGTAATGGTAAGAAGCTGACCTAGTGTCTGCGCAAAGAGAATGGAGCACTCTGATATCTAAATTATCAGGCCTTTCTCCTGTTTACTGTTTTGTTATGCATTCCTTTTTTAAATATCCATTAATTTACACATTATATAGATTTATTAGAACATGATTTTGAGAAGGAACACCAGAGAACAGTTTTTAAATTTCAGCACGATACAGCTTATTTTTTACATTTTAAGCTCTGTCTACAGTACTGTGGAGGAGTGTAGTATAGACATTTTAAAACAAACAAATGAAACAAACTAAAAATACTTAAACTATGTAGGGTAAAGACATTTGTTTCCTCCAGGTGTCACATCTGAGCTCCGGAGTTTGATGAGCTGTGTATCAGCAGGCGTGAAAAGCAGAGAGTGGCAGCATCCCTCCGACCTCACCCGCAGGTACGTCGCACTCTCTGCAGTTCTTTATAACTATGTTGAAGTCTCACTTTCAAGCAATCATTTGGCAGATCTGAGGAATGATACAAAGCAAGATTAATGGGTTAACTAGATGTTTCATGCAGGTTCAGTGTTATGAAGGTGGCTTTTCTTCCTGGTTGGATGAGCATAGTAAATTATGCTGAATGGATACACTTGTCAGGAGCAGGTTATGTTTACTTGCATGCTGGGGCAGCAGGTTGAAGGGTTCCAACAGGGTCCATAAACTGATCTGCAAGGGCAGTAAAACTGTGGGGATGGAGCTAGATTTTGAGTCCAAGTTGAGGACAATGCTGGACACTTCCTCCAACCCACTCAATGACGTGCTGGCCAGTCACAGGAGCAGGTTTGGTGAGAGTCTGAGAATACCTAAATGCACAACTGAACAACACAGGAAATTATTCCTGCCTGTGGCTGCCTCATGGTACAATCCCTCCATGTAAAGCACAAGTTCAATTCACTTATTTTTTTACAGTGCCAGATCACAAGAACAGTCATCTCAAGGCACTTTATATTGTAAATTAAAATTTGTATTGTTTTGTAGTCCCTTGAATAATACAACAGAGAACAAAAGTTAAAAACCTCCAGCAACTACACACTGCAGTAGTTGCACACCTGTACTATCTGCACATCCTGTGCAGAGGGGAAAAATAAAGTACAGTAAGAAGGCACCTCAGTGTCAACCCTGTATATTTAACTTGTGTGATATACTCGGATGTTTTTAATTAAAGCTATTTTCTGCCTAAACACACAGCGCTGCTGCTGCAGGAATTTGCATGTGTTCAGTTGGTGATGCAAAAAACTCATGTTTTTGTACTTTATCCCTGGTTAACTCAGTTTAAAGCTTCATAGGTTTAATTTCTGTCGAAATAAGCAGCAGCACTTAAAGTAACTTTAAGTCCTGAAGTATTACCCTCATCTTATTTATAGCAACAGTTATCACCTGTGGGAGACATTTATTGTCTTGTTTTTAATAATTAATGTTATTTATGAGATTTGTGTGGCATATTTGCCTGTTGATTTTATTCATTCTTTTTATTTAATTTTTATCATCTTTATTTTGTGTTATAAGAACTTACTAAAGACTCCAGGGTTAAAAGACCAGCATGTAGTGGAGCTCCGGGAGCAGACTGCCTCAGACAACAGAATGCTGATAATCACTGCCATGACACCCATTTTGTTGATGTTGAACTTCATAGTTACGCCGTCTTCTGCCCTCATTTTCAGAAATTACTGGAGACACTTTGGGCCAGCAGCAGCACTGATGACCCTGGATGAATGGCAGGCCAAGAACTGTCTGATGCACAAGCGCTTCGATAAGATACCAAAGATCTTTGAAAGGAGTCCATGTCCGTAAACTCAGCTTTGTGGTTTATAGACGCGTCAGGAAAAACTACACTTTCAAAACATATTTGTGTATATGTATATATTTGAGTATTTAGGTTTTCTTTCTGGCTTTTTGATTTACTTTTCTTTCAAATGCATGCACGTTCCTCCTAATTTAAAAACGTATGCATGTTTTCAGTGGTTTTGTTTTGTGAAAGTCTGAATCACTGAAGAATGTCTTAAACTTGAATTACTGACTTAGATTTTTGGATTTTAGGTATTTGCTACTTCATATTTGTCTCATGTTTACTCTGCATATGGTTAGTTTTTACTGATTTGCTGTAAAAGCCTGATGGAACCACCCGAGTGTGTGAATGTGAAAACTCAAGGTGATGTCGGATTTTCAAATTTATACCACAGGTTAATTTACTAAAACTCTCAGGTGACGTTGAATCTCACTGACCTCGGGGACAGAGGTGAAGTTTTCTTAATCTTTTGGAAAATTCAAATAGAGAAAGAAGTCCCCTAAGATTTTCAAAAGCATACCATTGGTGGATCTACTAGGAGGCTGGGGTTGGCACTCGTGGCTGCCAGTGTTTTTCATGTGTTCCTGTTAATCGGTCTCCTCTCTGGGGTTGTAACGCAGCAGACAACAGACTTTCAATCCAATAAGAATGAGACTCAATTTCTATCTTTGCTCTTTGTTTTTGGACCTTTTGTGCGTCTTTTATTGCACTTAATTTTTACTTTACAGTAGCGATGATTTGTTACTATGTCAGTTTTACTTACGAAGTAACAAAGAAGCATCGGCACTTTCTAGGTACTGTTCTTTGAAATATTTACTCAGCGTTGTTGTAAATATTTAAAGATTTTGCTCAGTAACTAAAAATTATGAACATGGTTATATTATTGCATTAAACGTTCTTTTTCCATGGCTGATTCTTACTGTCGTCTTTGGCCATTTATTTAAAAAAGAAAAAAGAATCAGAAACTTTATTGTCATTGTCACGAGAACAACGAAATGAAGAATGGTCCCCGATCATTGCATCATCCCTAGCAATATCAAAATATAAATAAAACAATAAAATTCAATAAATAAAATAGAATACTTAAAATACTAATAAGATGTAACAGTAAAACATTCACATACATTCCCACACACATGCTTCAGGCCGTGCATAGATTAACACAAGAGTGGCGTGATGGACATTTTTTTGTAGTATTCAGATGTGTTATTGCAGTTGGATAACAGCTGTGTTTGAGTCTATTAGTCCTTGCTCTGATTGCCCTGTACCGTCTGCCTGAGGGCAACAGTTCGAACAGGGAGTGGCCAGGATGTGAGGTGTCTTTTATGATGTTTTGGGCCTTTTTAAAACAGTGGGCATTGTGTAGAACTTCCAGTGTGGGGAGAGGGCAGCCAGTGATCTTTTGGGCGGTGTTAATGATCCCTTGGAGTGCTTTCCTCTGAGCCCCTGTGCAGCTAGTGTACCAAATACATATGCAGTAAGTTAGAACACTCTCAATGGTGGCTCTGTAGAAGGACACCAGCAGTTTCTGTGTGATGTTATTCCTCCTGAGAATTCTCAGGAAGTACAGTCTCTGTTGGGCCTTTTTCAGCAGCTCGGAGGTGTTCACACTCCAGGAAAGGTTCTCCTCTATATTGACTCCCAGGAAGCGGAAGCTTGCCACCCTTTCTACACAGTCCCCATTTATGAATAGTGGTTGGATCTCTGCCTTTTTCCTTCTGAAGTCTATTATGAGTTCTTTGGTTTTTGAAGTGTTGAGGAGGAGGTTATTGGCCTTACACCATGACGTCAGCTGCTCCACCTCGTCTCTGTACGTAGACTCGTCTCCCTTGGAAATGAGCCCCACCACTGTGGTGTCATCTGCAAATTTCACAAAGATGTTGCTGTGGTGGCGAGGAGTGCAGTCGTGTGTGTAGAGAGAGTAGAGCAGTGGACTGAGCACACAGCCCTGGGGTGAGCCAGTGCTGAGACTCAGGGCTGAGGATGTGTGATGGCCAACTCTGACTCTCTGTCTACGGCCCGAGAGGAAGCTGTTGATCCACATGCAGGTGCTGTATGGAAGCCCCAGGTCTTGTAGCTTGGCCACCAGTTTGTGTGGAAGGATGGTGTTAAAAGCTGAGCAGTAATCCACGAAGAGCATCCGCACATAGCTACCATGCTCTTCCAGGTGAGTTAATGCAGCATGGAGTGCTGTGGCTACAGCGTCTTCCGTGGACCGGTTTGCTCTGTAGGCAAACTGGTGTGGATCCAGGCTGCGGGGCAGGGCTGCTGTGATGTGTCTGCGGACCAGCTTCTCAAAGCATTTCATTACCACTGGGGTGAGTGCCACCGGTCTGTAGTCATTCAGGCCGGTGATGTGGGGCTTCTTAGGCAAGGGGACTATGGTGGAGGACTTCAGGCAGAGTGGGACAGTCGCCTGTGCGAGGGATTTGTTGAAGATCCTGGTGAAGATCCCAGCCAGCTGTTCTGCACAATCCCTCAATAAATTAATAATAATAATCATCATCAGACAAATTTAAATACAGTCCAGTGTCAGGACTCTAATTGTATTTTTTCCCCATATATTTTTAATTAAGTTGTTTCACAATACAAACATACATTTGAACACCCTCACATTCACACACCCATCCATACATCAAACCTGCCTACATCATATTCAAATGTACAAATAAGCATAGTTCTCACAGTAATACGAGGAATTGGGATAAACAAGGTTCTCCCCTCTTTTCCTTCTTTCTCATAAACATCCTTCACCTCCCTAAAATATCCATATATGGCTTCCACATATTCACAAAGTGCCACTGTTTGCCCATGGCAGTATATGTTAGTCTTTCCAGGCCTAGAGAGTATTTTCTTCTTCCAGAGTCCCATGGAGGGAGCATCCATACTCCCCCAACATAGTGCAATGGCTTTTGTGGCTTAAAGTAGTCCATAGTTCAGTATTTTTGTCGGGTTTTTTTCGGTTGTTTAAATTCCCTTGGATATATTCCAAGTACACAGAGTTTACCCTTTAAAGGGATTTTTACCTTAAACACTTCAGACAGACATTTGATGATATCTTTCCAAAATTCCTGGATTTTAGGACATTCCCATAGACAAAGAAGAAGAGTTCCTTTTTCAACTAAACATTTAGTAAAGATGTCTGGAATATCATTGGACATATGATGGAGCTTGGTGGGTGTTATATAGGTTCTTGTGAGCCCTTTATATTGCAGGAGTTTAAAGTGTGTGTTTGTTGTTTGTTTTTGTGCTTTTAAGCAAGCCTGGTTCTAGTCATTTTCATCTGTCCTCCTGGATTTCAAGTCTCCAAGCATCCAGGTTATCTGCTGCTGAGTCTTTGGAGGAAAGCATCAATAAATGATATGTATATTATCTATATATATTATCAATAAATGATAATATATATAGAGAGGAAACCTTTCCCTTTTGTATTCTTAAAGCATGCCTCTTCTGTTTTTGTTAATGGTGGAAGTTCAGCAATCTTTTGCAGTTTTGATGACAAATAATTTTTCAATTGTAAATATTTAAAAAAGTGTTTTGGGCGTATTATTAAATACTTCTTACATAACTGATCAAATGTGAGCAACCTGCTATCTGCATATAAGTCTTTAATTTTTTGAATTCTTTTATTTTTCCATATTTTAAATCCTCCATTTTTACCAGGAGTAAATGTTTCATTTACCCTAATAGGAGTGAATTGCAAAAGCGATGGAGGATCATCCACATGTTTATGTGCTGCATGCCACATTATAATTGTATTTTTCAAGAAAGGGTTCTTTGTATTTTTTTTTAATGTCTTAGTGTCTGAAGGATGTAGAAAAATGTGTAAGGGAATTTTGTATCCTGAAAATTCTCCATTTTTTTTTTTTAATCAATGTTACTAAATTAGGGATACTATCTTTCAGATTAGTCAAAAAATATATCTGCAAATAAAGAAATTAAATGGTCTCTTCCTCCTCCTCCTGATAAATGATATTCCTGTATTTGCTCTCACAGCGATGGCCAGAGGTTCTATTGCTGTAGATTAAAAGGTTTTGATATTTTATTATTAGTTAAAACTTGTGCTTTCGGGTTTGTATACAATAACCGGATCCATTTCAGAAATGTTTCACCCAGTCCATATTTGTGGAGCACCTGTAAGAGATGGTTGCATGGATCCAGTGATAACAGCACAGTGTCTTACTATTGTTTTTCTCATAAAGTACATTATGTTATAATAGCCTTGTCTCGTTTTAACAAAACCTTGTTGATCATCTATTATCAAATTACGCACACATTTATCTGGTCTCCCAGAGAGTGCTTTACACAAAATCTTTGTATCACATCCCATAAGACTAATTCCCCTATAAGAGGAGCATTCAGTCGGAGGCTTATTTGGCTTCAATAAAAGGGACTCTAATTATATTTAAATCCAGAATATACACTTACAGTTATAAAATTAAGCATCAGTTGGAGCTTTCCTCAGATCCCCCCCCCCCCCCTCCCTCCGCAGAAAGAGTCTGATTTGTACCAGTAGATGTAAATTATAATAGTAGTAGTTAAAATTGCTTCCATCATTTTTGATAATTTGCACTGGTTCATCATTTAAAATAGTTTTTTTAGGGGTTATAATTTTGCTTTTCCTTTTTCACATGCAGCTTTGTATTGGGTGGTTGAGATTTATCGATCCATAATGGTGCACTCTCGCTTGAAATATTCATATAACACTAATTGAATAGAATAAATCAGTCTGCAGGTTTTGCCCCTGCACATTAATTTTTAATTTTTAGAGACGGTGACAGTGACATACTAAGAAAAAGGATATTGTGTATAAAGTGAGAAATTTAGTTAATTTCTTCAGTGAATTTGCTATTTTGCAACAACAATTATCTCAAGGTGCTTTATATTGAAAAGTAGAGCTCTTATAGTTCTTGACTGAGGATGATTACAACGAAGGTATTGCACACAATCATCTAATAAGTGATATTGTATCCATCCCTGGAGGAGGAGCTGGCCTGGGAAGAATTTGACATCTAGATGAACTTGAGGCTTCCCCAGTTTACAGACCTATTACCTGAACAAAGTCAACCTGGGGCATGAATGCACCGTGTTGCACACGGGAATTATATGAAGTATTCACCCTCATTCTGATGACTTTGTGTTTTGCATATTTGTCATTTGTTTCACATCATAAAAGTTTAGGTAATACAAGTAAATACAAGTAAATTATTTCATTTATGAAAAGAAAAGGCTATCCAAAAAAGTATTACATTGGAGATAATACATTTTTATTATCAATATTTAAGATTATTAGTTGATTTGCAGATGATCCCTGGATTTATCGATAAAGCCAGATGACACATCAATTAAACTACAGGCATGTGTTAAAGACATGAAGATGACCTCTATTTTTCTATTTTTAACATGTATTAAAAATAAAGTCAATAAAAGGGCAGTGACATTTAACATGTAAACCGTAACCTTACTCCAGTGTGTGGGCCTAAACCGAAGAGAGACAAATAACTATATAGATTAATCTTTTTAAATGTACTTTAAGCCTCTGGCCAATCAGAAGCGTTAGCACAGATGTAAACAACATGTGAGCGTTTTCATGTCAGTTTGTTCACCTCAAGTTTGAGCTTTGCAGTGTCGCCTGCTCATTTAACCTTTAAGTGCGTCGTGTGTTTAAACACCTGTGCGCGCTACCGAGAGAGGAAAGCGTGTGCGTGTCTAGCAGATTAATTTCCAAGAAAGAGGTGAGTTTTATTTCATGTTATTTGTGTGGTCTTATAGCTGTAGCATATCCAAAATATCGATGAAGGTAACAAGCTAAAAGCTAATGTTAGCCCTGAGCGTGCGCAAGGACGTGTGTTTTTGAGGACCGAGCAGGTGCGAAGTAAGTTAGGTAATATAAAAAATAACGCGGGGCTAGAGTCTCCAGGCCTAAGGCCAACAAAAAGTTTGTCTTTAACCAAGTGCGGAGGAACGTTTGGGCTCAACTAAACTGATTTCGGCTGTTTGGCTAACCATTTGGCTAACTCTAAGCTAATAAACCGAAACGTAAAAAAAACTAAAGTGAAATGCACGCAAGTGTTTTTAGTGGTGATATAGTTTGTTTTTGTTTTTTTAGAGAATGTATAAAGTTCCCCAAACCCATAGCATTATATTTAATTTTCAACATAATTTAAGTTACTTTAACTAACAATATAAATGGGAAAATTATTTTTTAATTAGCTCACGCGTTGAACAGCAGGCTGCTGCCCCCGCGACCCGGCCTCGGATAAAGCGGATGAAGATGGATGGATGGATGGCTCACGCGTGCAGTTTTACCTACCTGTGATATGACTGTAGAAATCGAACTCAAAGACAAAAAAAAGATCAAAACAAAACCGCACAGTTCAAATCAGTGACTTGTAATGTGGTGATTGAATTTCTGGATTTACATGAAGAAAAAGTTTTTGTTGTTGTTGTCAAGCCTGGTGCCTTGTCCTGGGATACCAGACCAGGTATCCTGTTAGGTGAATGTGTAAACCATTACACTATGGAGCCACTGGTAAATATTTTGCATAATAACCTTTAAGAAAAGTTTGAAGATGACACTGTGCTTTGTGTTTGGCTTTGACAGCAACAATAGGTAGCCAAAAGGACAAAGCAGGTGGAGATGGCTCATAAAGTCCTGGGTGAGTAAGTGCAAAATTGATTTTAAAACTCACAGCTTATGGGTTGTGTGGACTGCATGATCTCATAACAACACAACAAGACAAGTGACCTTTGTGTTATTTAAGTTTTACTGTGGGATACGACAGTGTATTGGTTAGTTTGAGCAACTAGGAGGACATTCATGGAGGTTGTGATTAATATTTGTGTTGGTGTTGTGCTGGCTAAATGTTTAAAGTTGGAAAACTTTTGTTATATTGGAGGTTTTTGTTTTCTAAACAAAAATGGGGGAACAAATAAATGGCATAAGGTTTGAGTGCTCAGCCCAGAAATTGTGTGTGCTGGGAAGAAAATAACTGATAATGTTGAATTTTCTTCACCCTCAACAGGTATGGATAAAAAAGCAAGAAATAATGTGATGGTCTGCTGTCTGAAACCACCCATATGCGAAAGTTTGAAACCTCTTTCCATGTATTCAAGGATGACCTGTAATAGAAAGGCTGATCTGCAGCAGTCGAGAAGGTTTTCTACATTTAATGATTTAGAAATTGAGGTCCGTAATAACTGGATAAATAAAAGGAAACCGTACTATTCCAGTCCTGATGAAGGGTATGTTAGTCGGTTAAAAAAGCCCCTTAGTCCACAGGCTTTGTCCCCTGATCTCGAGTGTTTTACGGACTGTTACAGCCCTTTTGTGAGACAGCAATCAACATTGTCTTATCCTGAACCTTTACCTAAAAAGCAAAATGTTGGGAGTGCAGTAAAACAGCCTGTGAACTCTTGGCTACACTCGGAGCACATCAAGCAGTGTGGATCCTCCACAGATCCAGGAGGTGAAGAGGAGATCGTACAAAAACATATTACATCTGAGAATATCCTTTTAAATTTTTCCCCTGTGTTTGACTATGACTTAGATACAATATGTTACCTCAATCCCATTAATACCTGTACTGCAGCAGGTAATTTGGATCCTGCAGAAAGCTGCACAGCTCCACATTGCAACACGTTTCCAGAGAAACAATTTCCTGCTGTTCACACAAGAGATGGAAAGAAGAGTTGGATGAGAGAGTTTGGGAGTCAGTGATGATAGAGGCTATGTATCTCTGTCCTCCATAAATGACCATAAAGGAGATGGGTTATTGAACTCTAAACAGCTCACTGGTAACTCAAATCCCCATCTCAGGGTGGTTGAGAATGGCTGTCATCCTCAAAGATCACCCAAGCCACAATATAATAATCAAACTGTGACCTCTGGAGGCTTTACTGTTGCAGTGGACGACTTGAGTCCTGCTGTCAGTGGGCCTTTCATGGAGCTGATGACCTCCGTTGTGGAGAGTTTAGAAGGTGAGACTGAGGGGGTGTGGGATATCGGTCCTCCCACGCTTGAATCCTCTCCGTATGGCAAAGTCAGGCCAAACACTGCTAGTGACAGACGTCTGGCATCAGAGTCATCTGGACACAGTACAGAAGACACCAATCTGGAGGACGCCTGGGAAAATACCTTACCTCTTCAAGTACAGGTACACTTTGCTCCTGTTCTTTACAGCAGTGCTCTGTATATGTTTTCTTTTTTTTTTTTTTTTTTTTTTGCAAGAACACACAAGAACATCCAAATAAATCAGACAAAGTTTTGTCCTGACCCAGATAGCAATGAATGTTTGGCCTAATTTTGGCTCCTATCTCAGCCACAGGTCCACCTCACATTGCCCAGTGCCATAACTGAGCTGTAAGAGCCAAATTAGTGCAGAGAATTGGCCCCAATTGTCCCAAATCTCTCTATCAGGAAGCAAATTACTTCAGTGAGTTCGTGATGCTTTTGAACTCCATTCTAATGCAGCATGCTTTACTAGGGACGTGTGCAGTGGTGCATCTCAGACAATTTGGAAGATGTGTGTTAATTGAAATCTTAACAAACAATCAAGTTGGTATCGTAGCCTAAACAGACTTAACCCCATGTAACCTCTTTGTCTGAAAAGCCAGTATTGAATTATAAAATATTGATGCGTCTTCTGGATATGAAAGATGAAGCTTACACAGAAGTGCCTTAAACCTGCCGTCAAGGGGGCGATAGCTGCGGCTGTGAAAAAAAGACTGTAAATCAGTCCTCAGCTGTGAACTCTGTTAACACTTTGCTGATCGTTTTATGTCATGTTGAGTAAAACATTAAGTACATTTTATACATTTTGATCATTTTGAGAGGCAGAAAAGGCGGGTTATCGAGGTTATGCTCATCGACTGTGGTTTCACTGAGATCCACCCTTCACTCATCACAACGTGATTCATAATATAAAGTTACCCAAGATGAAAATAATGGTGACGTCATAGCACCTATGCCCATTTTTGCGGTTTAAAAACAAGGGAAAACGTATATTTTAAGACAAAAGTAACGTCTGTCATTTGTAACACTTGGAAATCATGACCCTCACTAATCCAGGGGTATGTTAGCTGAACTGAGCAGATTGTGGTGCACTTGGAGGAATATCTCTGCATAAATCCATGTGTTTGCTGTGATTGAGCTCTTTACACAGCATATTGTTACCAATCAGTTTGATCACAGTCGTGTTCGAGGGCATTTCTGGAGAGGTAAATGTTGAGCTGCAGTGGATCGACACAGATATTTTCTAAGCTGATTGACATTGGCGAGCTCTCCTTTGTCTCACTGAGGGTCTCTCCCTGGTTCGGTGTCAGGGTTTGTTACCCACCTTCCTCTGGTTGTGAGGATAACATTGCAAGGCAGAATACTCCCTTAGGTCAGCATGATTCCTGTGGCCCGTGTAGCCCATCAGCTCTACCTGAATTTTTATTAACTAAAATATATTTGTTTGTGTTTTGTGTCATATTAAGAGTTCAAAGAAAATGCTCTAAAAGTTTTTCTAAAATGAATGATATTTGTAAAGCTAAAAAAACTGTGATAACCCAGCAATCATACACAAATATTCTGTGCTTCCTCAAGGTGAAATCAAAAGTTGTTGTTCCATGCCAGCAAACCACAAAACCAGAGGAAGAGTCGCGTGCTCGGACTGCCAAGTGCTCCGGGACTCAAAGGTACTGTTACCTCTAGGGGGAGCAGTGGGACCACACTAGCCTCGCTCTGGTTTTTAGAGGCGCTCGGCCTGTTCTCTAGAAGCCTCATATTTACAGATTTGTGGGGCCATGTGCTTGTATCTTTTCAGGCCTGTGATCTTCAGCAGGAGGTCAGACTGGGAGAAGAAAAAGAGACTCTATGTCCATTCAGTAATGAGACACATGCAAGAGAAACAAGGAGCACATAATGGTAAGAACCTGATGTTCTTTTCTCCCATATTTCTTTTCTTCTTCTCCTATTTTAAATATTTATTTTGATGTTTTACCTCAGAGGAAACTGACAGTTAATGTTTTTTTACTATGATATTTATGGAAACATGCGTGAAATGGTGGCAGACATCATGGCAATGACTCCCTAAATGATTTTTCAGTAGTCCTCTGTTGAGCCTGATTGTAGCTGATGCTTTACGTGTGCTGTGCTGTGAGTATGTGCTCATGAATTCAAGGATAAGGTACAAATTGAAAACATTGTTTCGCTTTCTGACAAAGTAACCTTTAACCTGGATCGGACTTGGCCTGGGCCCCGAATTACGAATCTCCGTCTACATACCCGACATGAATATGACATCTTTGGTGTTTCACAGATCATGACTTATTCTACAAAAAAACGATCCCTGCGAGTGCCACCTACTCCAGAAATGTTATCAGATGGTTGTTAAAAATCTACGAAGGCTTCAAAAGTAAAAAGTAAAAGGCAACATTCTTGTAGAAGGCACCGGAGATGAATGCTGCAGTACATCGTTAATATGGTGATGTGATGCACAGAGCAGGAAATGATCATTTTTTTTTAAATTCTAGTTAATTATTTTATTATTGAGTGCGCTCTCAGTGCTGTTGTTTTCCTCAGCTGATGGCTGTACATTAGAACTGAAACTTTAAGCTGGATCCATTTAAACATTAAATGCTACTCTCATGAAATCGTTTCAGTTTGCCACATAGCGAAGTGAAAGGAATTTGATTGATAGGCCAAGAATATGTGTGCAGGGTTCTGGTAATTGCAGGATGTTGCACTGATGGCTAGTAATGAAAATGCAACAAAGACGTATGTCAGGCAAGCTGATTGGTCAGCCCTTACGAGCCAGAGATGAAGTTTCTACCATTACTGAGTCACATGTGAAGAAAACTAGCTGAAGTAAGGATTATGTTTTCACAGTAAAGGACGCATTTAACATTTACCTCGAGTTTGCAACTAAAATGTAGACGTGTGTTGGCTGTAAAAAGTGATTCTGAGATTCAGCCTGAGCAGCTTCACTTTTAGCCGACATGAAAGTTGATGACGCAGCAGCAGCAAGGATGGCGCTGTAGTTGTTTATGGCGGAGCCTCTCTGACTCCACACACAGCGCGCCGAAGAGAAAGAAAACATTTTTCTACAGTTGACAGCAGCCACGGTTGTTTCTGTAATCTATCCAAACCTTTGCAGGTAAAATGCCAGTAAGAGTGCTTTATCAGATCACACGATAAACAAACTTAAAGGTGAAGGAAAGTGATTCTGTTCGCCTCCACACAGAAATAAAAAAAACTGTCTTGACCTTTAAGCTTGGTGGCGTTTTTTTTTTTGTTTTTTTTTTTTTTTGTGTGTGTGTGTGTAAACTTTGCTGCAGGTCGATTGTCAGCTACTGCATGCAGGGGTCTGTCTTAAATCCAACCAGCATGTAGTGTTACCGGTATGATTTATTTCAAAGCTTTAGTTAGAATAAATAAATCTGTGAAATTATTACTAAGTACTGGGCCACCTACACGTTACACCTACAGGAGCTGCTCGGCCATGGAAACCGATGCCATGGAGCTCGCGGTGCACAGTTTTAGTGCTGATGTTAATGGCAATGGAGTTTTAGAGCTCCACGGCTACTGAGTCCAGAGAGCTTTGGCGACTTTTAATTGATTAAATAAGCAGTTAGTGGTACAGAAAGTAATAACTAAGTAATACAGTTACTTTTACTGTAAGTAATGACCGTAAAAGTAATTATTTTATAGATGCAGGTTAACGTGTAAACGTCTCTCACTTGGAACCTTGTGTTGTGGGGTTTTATTTCCCCCCCTCTGTGTCATGACTCTTCCCTTCAGTCACGTATGACCTTCAGTTTTGATGTTCTAACATCTGTGCCTCCTTCAGGTGTCATGTCTGAGCTGCTGAGCGTGATGAACCGTGTTGCTGGTGAGAAAGCGGGCAAGGATGGGAAACGGTGGCAGCACCCCTCCGACTTCACCCGCCGGTACGCCACCTTTTTGGATTTTTTTTTTTGTGGATTCAGAATAAACGAGTCTGAGTTTTATTTGTCTTTTTGTAAAAAATCAAGTTTAGTTTTAGTTGTCTGGCTTTGTTCAGTCGTCTCAGACTATCTTAGTGAAGTTCATCAAATGCTTCCTG